GTTATCATACTTCCTAGGTTTTCACTAAAACGGCTGATGTTTGACTGTGGTACTCTGTAGATGTTTATCACTGAGAGGTTTTTGTAGGTATTTGGATTTGAATTTAGTTATTATATATTCCCTATGTTCATCCCTTGTGCAAGTATTAGTGATACATTCTAGTTGGTCTGAGTAGTATATGGCTGTGCCACCCCCTTGTTGATCTGGCCTACAGTTGTGTTTGGCTGCGTAACCAGGAATGCCATAGACATCTGTAGTATCAGGCTTTAGCCAAGTTTCGGTGAGAGTAATGATGGACATACTGGCATGCAGGGAATTTAGTAATGCTATGAGGTCATCGTAATGTTTGCTTAAAGATCTGATATTGTAGTTAAAGAGAGTTATGTTGTTGTTGGCTCTGAGAAGTGCCTTTGATTGTTCTGCTGTGTAGTAATTACAGTTACTGTTTGATTCATTTAAGTCATTAGATAAGAGGTTGGTATCAGGATCAATGCTTGTTATCATACGATTTATAGTGAATCTCTAGTTAGAATTAAGTATAAGACAAAGTAAATATTCTAAAGCTATAAAATAGCACCTGAATTATTTTAACAAATGTAAAAAATATGAGCTAAGGTAGCTCTTTAAAGCTAAAATAAATGAGGCAATATAAAAGGGACTAAAATAATTTGTGGTGAACAAAAAAGTGGTAATCAAATAAATGAATGTAATGGCAAAATAATGAACTTATTACACTTGAGCACCTGAGAATAGCACCTTGATTATTTTAACAATTATGAATATATGAACTAAGGTTGTTATATAAAGCTAAAATAAAAGAGAAAAAATATAAGGGACTAAATTAAGTAATGGTAAACAAAGTTAAAATGATAGATAGTCACTATGATATAATATTGATTTAGGAGTAAGATCTAATTTGTTATATATAATAAGTTGAGCAATATATTGTACTATAAAAAGTAAAAAAAAAATAATATGAGGTAGTTAGTACTAGTTAGCAAAAGATAGTTAAGGGCCTTGAACAATGATATAATTGAAATATACACTAATTGCACACACAATATAGTCACTTAGATATGAAAATAATCTTAGAGTAGGATTTATAATATAAACTTATAATATAAAAATACAAATTGTTCCTAAACCTGCTAATGCACTTGACGTATAGTCTAGTGATATCACTGAGTAAAAATTCCTATTGAAATACGAAAGGTGCACAATCTTGAGGAAATACGAAAAGTGTACAGTTTTGTAGAAATACGATAAACAGTGTAGAGTTGTCAGTGAACGCAACATACCTGGAGTTTACCTGGAGAGAGTTCCGGGGGTCAACGCCCCCGCGGCCCGGTCCGTGACCAGGCCTCATGGTGGATCAGGGCTTGATCAACCAGGCTGTTACTGCTGGCCGCACTCAATCCAACGTATGAACCACAGCCTGGCTGGTCAGGTACCGACTTCAGGTGCTTGTCCAGTGCCTGCTTGAAGACAGCCAGGGGTCTATTGGTAATCCCCCTTATGTATGCTGGGAAATCAGACATATGCAAATTCTATGCATTAGATATCTGCAGGCATGGAATATCTGGAAAAACAGATAGGATGTGCAACTTTGACCACCCCAGAAAATACCGTGCCCATATGACAACAGAATAATGCAACCTTCCTTCCTGTAAGCTTTTCCACCTTGAAATGTGTCACTCTTCAGCTAAGGAAAGACAATGCTGTAACTTATGTTGTCAGGCACACCATCTAAAGGGGACAAGAAGATGCAGAACATCTAGACCATGGGGAAACCTGGGTAGCCACAATCACTCCAGAAAGAGTTTTTTAGTGCCATGAAGGAAAAAAAGCTGGCAGGAAATGAAAGAAATCGTACACCAACTCCGATCATTTCTGGAGCGGAATCATAGTCAATGGCCTCCACTCCAAAACAACAGATATTAGTGCCTATTAAACTTCTCAAATGATGCAATTGAAGTTTTGGCAGTAAAGAGAGAGACCCAAAACCTGGTCATTGTGACTATATAAGCCTCGGGATGCAACTTCCTAACAATTCCAGGAACAGCTTTTAAAAATAGACCACTGTCTGGAAAATCTTCACATCCCTGCCCCAAACATCTTGCTCCTGGGAGATTTCAACATAAGGCACTTAAAATGGAGGAATGTAGCAAATAATGTTATAGCAGAGATAACACCAGGAGGCAGCTCAGATGAAAACTCGCACACACACGAGCTTTTAAATCTCTGCACCAAGTTCACCTTAAACCAGCAAATAATAGAGCCAACAAGATTAGAAAATACACTGGACCTCATCTTCACTAACAATGATGATCTGATACGAAATGTCACCATATCAAAAACAAAATACTCAGATTACAACATAATAGAGGTTTAGATATGTATGCGTGTAGCCCCAGACCAACAAAATGTGATCAGTCACGAGGGAGCCTTCACCAAATTCAACTTCAATAACAAAAACATAAGGTGGGACAAGTCAACCAGGTCCTAAATGATATAAACTGGGAAGCAACACGGATCCAAACCTATGTCTAGAACAAATTAACTCTGCGGCACTCGAGGTATGTTTAAGGAAAAGGAAGAGAAGATGAAAACTAGAAATTGAAAGGTGCTCTATATACTAAAAGAGGCTAAAAGAGGCCAATATATCTGTAATACGAAGGGAGGCACTGATCAGAGAAATAGCAAATATATAACCTAAGCTAAAGGAATCTTACAGGAGTAAAGACATGCGGGAAGAACTGAAAGCCATAAATGAAATTGAAAGAATCCCCAAATATTTCTTTTCTTATTCCAAATCTAATTCGAGAACAACATCCAGTATGGGGCCGCTATTTAGACAAGATGGGTCCTATACATGTGACACCAGGGAAATGAGTGAGCTTCTCAAGTTCCAGTATGACACGGTTTTTCGTGAGCCACTAACCAAACTGAGAGTCGAAGACCTAAATGACTTTTTTATGAACATGACACAGAATTTGGTAGACTCAAACCTATCTGATATTATCCTGATGCCAAATGGCTTCGAAAAGGCGATAAATGACATGCCCATGCACTCTGACCCAGGCCCAGACTCATGGAACTCCATGTTCATCAAGAACTGCAAGAAGCCCCTGTCATGTGCTTTTAACATCCAATGGAGAGGGAGCATGGACACGGGTCGTTCCACAGTTGCTAAAAATAACAGATATAACCCCACTCCACAAAGGTGGCAGTAAAACAATAGCAAAGAACTACAGACCGATAGCGCTAACATCCCATATCATAAAAATATTTGAAAGGGTTCTAAGAAGCAAGATCGACAACCACCTAGATACTCATCAGTTGCACAACTCAGGGCAACATGGGTTTAGAGCACGTCGCTCCTGCCTGTCCCAACTCCTGAAAGCTCTATCAGACAAACAAAACGCAGATGTATACACAGACTTTGCAAAAGCCTTTGACAAGTGTGACCATGGTGTAATATAGCGCACAAAATGCATGATAAAGGAATAACAGGAAAGTTGGTAGATGGCTCTTTAATTCCCTAACAAATAGAATACAAAAAGTAGTAGTAAACAGAGTCAAGATTGATGCGGCTACGGTGGAAAGCTCTGTTCCACAAGGCACAGTACTCGTTCCCATCCTGTTCTTCATCCTCATATCTGATATAGACATGGATGTAAGCCACAGCACAATTTCTTCCTATGCAGATGACACCCGAATTTGCATAACAGTATCCTCCATTCAAGACACCGCAAAACTCCAAGCGGACATCAACCAAATCTTTAAATTGGCCGCAGAAAACAATATGAAGTTCAATGATGAGAAATTTCAATTATTCCGATATGGAAAACGTGAGGAAATTAAAACTATATCGGAGTATAAAACAAATTCCAACCACACAATAGAGCGAAAAACTAATGTAAAAGTCCTGTGAGTGATAATGTCAGAGGATCTCACTTTCAAGGCCCATAACATTGTATCAATCGCATTTGCTATAAAAATGACAGGATGGATAATGAGAACCTTCAAAACTAGGGATGCCAAGCCCATGATGACACTCTTCAGGTCGCTTGTTCTATCTAGGCTGGAATATTGCTGTACACTAACAGCACCTTTCAAGGCAGGTGAAATTGCTGACCTAGAAAATGTACAGAGAACCTTCACGGCGCATATAACTGCGATAAAACACCTTAATTACTGGGAACGCTCGAAATTCCACAACCTGTACTCCCTAGAATGCAGGCAGGAGAGATACTTGATTATATACACTTGGGAAATCCTAGAGGGATTAGTACCAAACTTGCACACGAAAATCATTTTGAAAGCAAAACACTCGGCAGACGATGCAACATCCCCCTAATGAAAGCAGGGGTACCATTAGTACGATAAGAGACAACACAATAAGTGTTAAGGGCCCAAGACTGTTCAACTGCCTCCCAGCATACATAAGGGAGATTACCAATAGACCCCTGGCTGTCTTCAAGAAGGCACTAAACAGGAACCTAAAGTCAGTACCTGACCAACCGGGCTGTGGTTCGTACGTTGGGTTGCTTGCGGCCAACAGTTACAGCCTGGTTGATCAGACTGATCCACCACGAGGCCTGGTCTCAGACCGATCCGCGGGGGCGTTGACCCCCGAAACCCTCTCCAGGTATACACCAAGACAATAAATAGGCATGTAGTCTAAAATTATAATTAGTTAGTTCGTTAGGTTAAATTAAAGTCTAACTTCTGTATTTTACCTGAAAACTGTTAAGAATATTTTAAATAACCTAAAACACAAAGATTAAACTCAGTAGACTCGAGAGTAAATACACTCGAGCAAATACAGGCACAACTCTCAGTGCTAATATACGGTATATTTTAGAGGAATGGTATAGTACTTTATTCTATAATGGGTAAAAATAAAGACATTCATTATATAAGTCGCATAAAAATATATTTTCAATATTACAAACTGCAACATTGATTAGTGAAGTATTTAATGTGTAGCTTCCACGAGGATGGGAACGAAGGCCTCAACTTGGTCGCTTCGAAAAATTGAAAATTCAATTCAAATTGTGAAAGATACATTTCTTACCTGAGAAGCATATCCATATATAACGTGAAGGAGAGTTAATTAAGATTAAGAGAGGAAGTAGAAGTTATATAGAGGAGTGAAATATTATAGACAGAAGAGTAATTTTTAGATGTTGAGATATTAGAGGAAGGTTGTGTTGTGTGGAGTGAATAAATCAGTTGAGTGGCAGCTGTGGTGAGTGACGGGGATCATCGTGCTGCAGCCTCGTACATACAACACTTATATATTACTATCTGCACTACAGGGGCCGCAGTGCAAGGTAAGTGTATGTGTGTAGTGTTTGTAACTAGTGTAGGTAGGTGTGTGATGGGGGGAGAGTGATGGAGTCTAGGGTGAGCCAGTGTGGCTCCTCCCAGTGCCACAACAATGTTATAGTTACAGTGCCACAACAATGTTATAGTTATAGTGGGTATTATGTGCATGCAACCTACTTATTTAACTGTCAAAAACAACACTAAGCAACTGTTTATATTTATTGACGTCTGAAAATTTAATATGTTACTGTTAACATCAAATACATTGATTGGTTATGGGTGCAACAAGATGCAAAGATTTTCCTGTTAATAAAAGCGAAAATTAAATCCATGTGGGTTGTATTTTTCATACATTTGTCCAGTAATTCATATCACAACGATAAACCTGACTGGAGGAATGCCATTGATCTTATTACCAAGTCACCGATCAGTCAGGATTCATAAGTCTCCAGTATATTCCTACTGACAGAGGAGTTCCTATGTATAAATATGGTAAAAATAATGTCAGACAAAGCTAACCTAACTAGCCTTACTTAACCTAAACGTCAATAATGTTTGTTGATTCATCATATCCTAACACGTCGATGAACCTGCCACCTGGATAACTCGCTGTCGATTTGAAAAGCCTTTATCTTAGCTGCACACCGGCCGGCGTAGCAATGATAGTACAATATCTGGTGAAATCACCAAGCTTTCAAATTACAACATCAGGTGGCAGATTTGTTGGCTCGCTAAAATAAAACCATGAATTTTTTAGCATTGTAATTTGCCTTGATCTTCTTGCTGATAATTTTACTAAATTTATGTATATGAGAACTCTGTCCATTGGAAAAGATTAGAGACCTCTCCCAACCTTGGGCACATGAATGATATCACGACTACTCGTATTGTTTAGTAAAAAGAACTTCAGCAGGCAAAAAAAGTATAAATTACTTAATATTCTTTAGTTTTCTCGGTTTATATAACAGAAATCAATATTAATATTGGTGCTATAATTTCTTTGTTTTTTATTTGTATTTATTTCATGTCATGGAATGTGGTTTCATGTTTTTAATACTATTAGGGCCCCATTTATCTTCCACCCAAATGAGTGACTGACCATCCACACAAACATATTGTAATTCATTTGTAAAGCAGTTTAACTTGCTCTGACAGGGTGCTCTGCATATTTGACATATGTCCCAAAAAGCACTTAACAACTACTGGTACTCTAGATAAATTCATAGCCACCATGTTGTATTAAGTGCTGTTATACTTGAATAAATACAATTAAATGCATTTTGCACATAAACCAACAAAAACAGTGCTTAAATACAGTGTAGTAAACCAGAAATTGTCAATAATAGATACGTATGTAATAGGACCCGTATCCGCGGGGAATACGTTCCAAGTACCGTGGATACCGAAAAGTGGATAGTAGCAAACCCTATACACAACTCCTATACATACCTATTATAAAGTTTAATTGATAATTCTCCACTTATTGTGTATAATTTATCACTTTTTCACTGATGGGAAGCACTTCATGGCTTCTCTTAGGCTTTGAAGAACTGCCAACTTCTCTACTTTTGGGCCATTATTATGCAAAATTAAGAGGTATTTTGGGGCCACAGTAAACAGTGGATAATTGAAACTGTGGATACCAAATCAGTGGATGGGGGGTTCAACTGTACTTTTATAGTATGTATACACATGTACCGTACACCCATAACTGTTATTGAAGTATGTATACATATATCTGTTACTGACAGAATAACACATCATTATTAAGGGATAAAGAAAAACTTTATGGTAATACATCGATATTAATACAGTTATATTGTTGAATTACTTGCTGGTATATTTTATGAGCCTGATGGCTGGATGCTAGGGTAAACTTGCTGATGTTCTGTTGTATAGGTTTGGTGGTAGATTTGGAGTAATAAACACACACATAGGTTGTCTTGGTAATGTAGATGAAGATGATAAGGGAGAGCACCAAGAGCTTGAAATAACCACGAAAAATGGCTGTAGAAGCTGGCTTGCAGGCTGGCGGGCTGGCTTGGGGATGCTAGCTTGCTGTGGGTGGCGATGGCTGGGTGTAGGGATGGTGAGTTGGATAGCCTGGTGGTGTCCCCTCTGGCCTGTGGTCACCCCACAAATATTATTCTTATGGCATAAGTATCAAATTCACGCGACCACTGCTGCACACCAGTTTGTCGTAGGGGTTCGGTGGTAGATTTGGGGTAATAAACTCGCATGTAGGTTGTCTTGGTAGCATATATTAAGATGATAAGGGAGAGCACCAGGCCTGACCTGTCTCCTCTGCTAACCTGTCTTGAACTGAGATGACGCCCAGGACGTTGCAGTTCAAAGGGTGATTCAGTGATATCAATGCTATGGCCATCAGTCATGTAACGGTCAATGAGTGATTCACCAATGGTTACGTATGAGGCACGTACTACTGATACTACTGATAACTGATACTACTGATAATTCTACATATAAATATAAGTGAAATGAAAAATCTTTATTTGCCATTAATATATAAGCCTCTCCTAAACATGTTCTCAGGGTCGGAAATTTTTCAAAAAAAAAAATAATTATTTTTTCTCATGAAATGATAGAGAATCTTTTCCCAATCACAATGACACCAAAAGTATGAAATTTGATGAAAAACTTATGGAGTTATGCTCTCGCGAAGTTAGCGGTCTCGACAATGTTTACGCATCGGCGATTTCGCCCACTTTGAGCCCTATTTTCGGCCAATTCCAATGTACCAGTCGACAAAAATCATACCTATTTCGCTAGAACTCCATTTTTTCTATCGAATGAGTACAAGAAACCTCCCATTTACCGATTTTCACTATCCAGTAACGTGGTCAGAAATTGGCAATTTTGCCAATTTCACACAAATTTCAAAAGATGCCAATTTCCAAATAGGGCCCAGAATAAACAAAACAGACATTTCTGGCACTAAAATAACATTTCCTCTGTTCATTATTCATGTCCCCAGGCCTCTGTCACGTTTCTTTTGCTTTCCACTTTGGATTTTTATTCTCACAAAAAATAGAAGATTTATGTGTAGAAATGGCGTAGAAATGGTATAAATAGTACCAGGGCACTTATGAAAGAATATTACTCACCAGTTGACGTGTATTGGACGCGTGGCACGATTTGTTTACCTTTGAACTTTGGCAAAAATCGAACATTTCTGCTACTTTGAGCTCATTTTCAAGGTACTTTTCATTGTAAAACCAATCAAAATCATCTCAATTTCCATAATATGTCTTCCATTCTATAAAATGAGACCAGGAAAACTAGAATACAGCCATAAATAGCATATGAAAATACACTGCAAAGTCGCTGTTTTAAACCAAAAACACTGTCATTGTTTTTTTTTCTTATTATGCACTGTGTGCTGCAGGATTTTTTTTATATCGCGCACACTGACCACATAGACCTATTCTTTCATATGTAGGCCTACCAGCTTTCTCTCGCTAGATTTGAAGGTGCTAGAATTTATGCATACTAGTACGGCACCAATCCTGGCGTGCAAGCCGTACTAGTACGGCACCAACCCTGAAAGGGTTAATGATTAAATGACGAGTGAGACTTCAGTGGGATTGGTTGGAGCTAGAAATAGAGTACAGTGGACCCCCGGTTTATGATCAGCTCCCAATGCGACCAATTATGTAAGTATTTATGTAAGTGCGTTTGTTTGTGTATGTTTGGGGGTCTGAAATGGACTAATCTAATTCACAATATTCCTTATGGGAACAAATTCAGTCAGTACTGGCACCTGAACATACTTCTGGAATGAAATAATATCGTAAACCGGGGGTCCACTGTATTTGGATAGTTGCCAGTGAGGTACTCGCTTGGCTGGGTATTTGAGCTAGGAATTTGTCTAAGGATAAGACTATCAGTACAGTGATTGTTCTGAGTTACAAAACTTTATTTATATATACATAACAATGTTAATATGAGGGGACAGTAACAGAAAATGGTAATCTGTTGATAGTGTAAGTAATAAAGTGTCTTAGGGGAATAGGACTTATTGACACAAGAAGTGCAGGAGTAAAACAGCTGATTGGAATCTGAATAAGCAGGTTACATTAGATGTATTTGACACTTATATTTAACCCTTTCTCGAGACCTCTGATCACTCTGTGTCGAAAAATTCCACCCCCCCCCCCCAAAAAAAAAAAAAAATTCTTATGAAATGATAGAGAATCTTTTCCCAATGGTAATGACACCAAATGTACAAAAGTTGATGGAAAACTTAGGGAATTATGCTCTCGTGAGGTTAACAATTGCAATGATATTTATGCATCAGCAATTTTGCCAACTTTGAGCCCTATTTTCGGCCACTTCCATTGTTCCAATCGACTAATCTCATAGGTATTTTGCTAGAACTCTATTTGTTCTATCAATTGAGTACAAGAAATTGCTCATATACTGATTTCAACTACCCAGTAAAGTGATCAGGAATTGGTAATTTGGCCAGTTTCATACACAATTCTTATTTTAGATCCAGGAATGTCTGCATTGTTTATTCTGGACCCTATTTTGAAATTGTCATATTTTTTTAATTTTCGTGAAATTGGCCAAATTGCAAATTTCTGACTATGTTATTGAGCAGTAAATGAGAAATAGCTATGAGTTTGGTTGACTGGAACAATGGAATTAGCCGAAAATAAGGCTCAAAGTGGGCGAAATTGCCGATTCGTAAATATCGCCGAGGTCGCTAACTTCGCGAGAGCGTAATTCCATCAGTTTTCCATCAAATTTAGTTCTTTTGGTGTCATTACAATCGGGAAAAGATTCTCTGTCATTTATAAGGAAAAATAATTATTTTTTGGGGGGAAATTTTATGACACCAGGAGACACCTCAGGATTTGGGGTTGCAACAGTCATGGGGTTAATTTGCTTGAAATTGGCCAAATTGCCAATTTCTGACCACTTTATTGGGTAGTTGAAATCGGTAAATGGGCAGTTTCTTGTACTCAGTTGATAGAAAAAA